TCACTTCTCAACTGCTGCTGCCAAACTCCTGGCCTGTGGGCACTTTGCGTGCGGGCTTGCCCAGCCTTGGTGAGGGGAGCGTGGTTGAGGGACAACGGGAGGATGCGGCATTAGCCCATGTGTTTGGAGGAGAGAAGCCGTGAGAACCAGCGCTGGGAGCAGACAGATCGTTGCGCGACAATGGACCCCAGGACCACATGCGTTCTTCAGGGTCTGTGTCCGTGGGTCAAAACTCTGCACTGAACCGAGAGAAAGGAGAGAAAAATGGAGAGAGTGAGAGGGGGAGGGAGGGAGAGGGAGAGAGAGGGGGAGAGAGGGAGAGAGGGAGAGAGCGAAGAGAGCGAAAGAGAGAGAGAGAGAGAGAAAGAGAGAAAGAGAGAAAGAGAGAAAGAGAGAAAGAAAGAAAGAAAGAAAGAAAGAAAGAAACACAAAGCAGTTTAAAAGTTTATCAAAGCAAGGAAACCCCACGGTTTTAGTTTTAAAGAACTAGGTAAATGCAGCTTTGGTCTTTTGTTCCAATTCCAGTTCTGACCATGGAGGTCAGCTCATTTCTCACAGCCTTTCCCATCTGCTCTCCCATCCTGAGCTCTCTGACTTCATCCTGGCGGACTCACGACCGATAAACCGATGAACCGAGCCATGCTGTGACGCATGGCTCAATGGTGGGTCTAATCTTGTGCATCCATGTGCCAAAAGCCTTGAAGCTACAGAAGTGTCCATCTTCCAATCTTCCAGTGTATGGATGGAGATTCTCTATAAACTCCTGATGAAAGAGTAATGTCACCAAGTCTATTAAGGCCATCCATCATCCATGTAATCTACAGTAATTATTCTGCTGAAAGAATACAATAAAGTGAAAACCTCGTGAAACTCGGGAACCGGTTTTTCCTCACCATTCCCGAGCAGGGCTCATCCAACATCTCTACTTCATGAGAATCTGCCAACAGCACCTGGTAGTACTCATCGAATGGGCTTTGTCCATCCCATGATCAAAAGGACCGGAAGCCCCTCTTCTCCACGTTCTTCGGCCCGAGTTTGGCGCCTATGCTGCACCATCTTGGAACGAGACTTCAAGGAGATACAACCATAGTCGTGAAAGTGAAGCGGCGAGGGCCTCACCAACGAGGCAGGTACACGACTAGAAAACTGAGTAGATTGGCAATGGATGGCAATGGGTTGGTCCAAACTAGCGAAGCGGATTCTGAAATGCACTGGATGCTTGTTGGTTGGCGTATCGCTATGGGTGTGGCTAGAAGGTTCTGGTTGTTGCACTTTGGGTAGATCAAACCATAGGGACTGACTGCAGGACAAGTGATGCGCCAACCTGCCAAAAATGACATACCAGCCTACCAAATAGGGTCATCAGCTTCCTAAAGTCACGGCAGGGTCATCATGGTCCAGACCAACCAAACCAAATGCGAACGAAGAATCCAGAAAGTCACCTCGCACGAAGAAGACACGATGAACCCAACCCTCCAGCCGTTCCTCGTGCCATCGCTCCCCGGCCAATCGCTCCCGCGGAACAGGATCGAGCCATTTATATACATCCGTCTACTGTTCCACCTCATCTAACGAATTTGAAGCTTTTGGCAAATCTATCTGATTTTGGCTTGGCACTACTATGTACTGGAAGTGTTGCTTGGTGTTCCCACGCCTCGAGAACAAGTGATCGGAAACCTGCTTGGGAAGTCCACTTTGGACTACACCATGGCTTGTTCCAATGCCCAGGCACGGTCGAAGCCTTCTTGGATCCTTTTCGGTACCTGCGTAGCTGACGATCAAGACAGCACGCCCTCAGTCTGTATAACCACCGGGAAACTTTGAGAAAAACACTGATTGCAAGGTGAAAATAACACCCATTCATCAAAATACTCAATGGCGCCACGCTACTAGTAACAGGTGCCTTACTAGTAGTAACAAGAAGCTAGTAGTAACAAGTGCCACGCTACTAGTAACAGATTCATCAAAATACTCAATGGCCATCAATGACCCAATTGCTCTTGCTCAGAGGGGTGGAAAGACATGTTTCGTGGGCACCGTTGTCGTGGGTGACCACCGGTCCCGTGTGCAGGTGTGGCTCGCTGGCAGCGCTCCGGCCTCGGTCATCGAACAAAAACGAGTATCCTTTTGCAGTTGCACATCCTCTTTTGGGGTGCATGTTTTGAAGATCATGGAAGAACCATAAATAGTTCAAAACAAAAAATGTACATCATCCACATAATCCTCAATTTTGGCACATGGTGCCTCTGTAGTTCTCATGATTTGAGGTGGGGACACCATTTCCACTTCCGGTGGTGTCATTTCCAGTTGAACAACAGTGGTAACGGACCGGTCCAAAAAATTGCACGGATCGGTGGCCTGGGTTGACTCATTTACTTCATTCCTGTACTTGTGTCAAAGCCAAGCCTTTTGCAATGTGATGGTAAAAGAAATTCCTGAGAAATCTGAGTCCAGCCATCTCTTGGGCAACAGCGCTTCATTTCTATGGGTTGACCCCGAGACACTTCCCATCAGGTTCTGTAGAGCACGATCCTCCAAACTGGCAATGTCTCAATGACACATCAATAATACTAATAATCGGCTTTGCTAAGTTGGGATGCACACTGGATAAGCAATATTCTTCATGTACCGTACAAAGGATCCGCTCCTCCCCCTCCCCTATGGCCTGCAGTTTGCCACCGATGTCAGCTGGGGAGAAAAACCTGAACCCATCGATGTCGAATGATATTCATGTGGACCCAGGATGATGCGCTTCCTCTTGGCGCTTCCTCGTGAATCCATCCCACTGGTGGGCTCCCAGGCTCAGTGGCGCGGCCTGGTGAAGGGATGCTGGTTTTGGGTCACATGAGGTAGGGCGTGAGGAGTGCCCAGTGCTTGCACTGAGCTGAGTTGAGGACAGCAACTTGCACTGCTGAGTCATGAGAGTTCAACTGACAGCTCAGCACGGGTCAGTGGGTAGGTGGTGCGCGCTTCAACAAGGAGGGATAAAAACAACAAACAAGATCGAATAGAAAAGCTGAAGCAACCAGAAACACGGGAACCGTCCAACACCCTTGGATCGTTTGAAAGTGGCTCTTGAACGGCCTGCTGCCGGCACTAACCTCTACCAGGTCCTACCACCATCTACAGCACCTTTGGTTTGATTCTCTCCGTCCCCAAACCACCCCTACCCTTCCGGTCCGCCTGAAATGAACCATGATGTGTCCATCTCGTGGGCCTCGGAGCTGAGACGGTCGAGTGGTGGCCATCGGTCGCAGATGGACAGGCCCAGGCCGCCCGGGTCGTTCGTCATTCCTTTTTGTATACAGTTTGCAACCTGGGCTCCAAAATGCTCAAGACCATCACTCATCACCCACAACGACTCCACACAGCTTCGTGCTCTGTTCCGTTCAGAACCGCCCTTTCCACCAACATCCCACGTCCCACTTCCCTGCTGGGATCCGGCAAGGCTTCCATCGGGATGTCTTCCACCGCGCGCAGATGTGCCTGGAGCGTCTCCTGGGAAAACCCCCGTGGCGCGCGCAACGAGCCTCGATCGGCCGTCGATCGCTGGAGCGGCTCGCCGCGAACCAGGGTGGAAACCTGTGTCTCTCCTCGACCTCTCCTCTCCTCCGAAGGAAAGGAACGACCAGCCGGACAACCATGGAAAGCCTGTGTCTGAAGATTCTGAAGCCTCCCGATTTTGGTGGTTTTGCAGGAGGTTTTGGTGGTTTTGCTGGCTTGAAACTGCCTGTCATTCGTCAAGCTTTGCCGAGCGTTTGCTGTCATTCGATGTCTCCTCTAGCAAGTGGGCTCTGCAAATAGCTTTTGCGGAACACATGGGCTCCAGTCACTTTCTCTGAAATGGAGGGTGGGAAGTGGTGAGAAATATGGACCACAACCAACTCCAAAGCCTGGTCTCTAAGAGAAGAAGCCATGCCTTCCTTCTATCAGCGCTTCGGGGTTCATATCGACACTGAGGACCTCGTCCATGGGCCGCTTTTTGTGATGGCACCATCAAGTCAATAAAATAGGTTTTCCGGTGTTGCCGTATCTAAATAAGGAAAACATATGGAAAAAGAACCACCGCTGGGGCTCATCATAACTTATTCAACCTGGCCTGCCTCCAGCAGTTGGGGGGGAAGTCTGGTTTCTGCGTCTTGCTCGATCTCCTCGAACTGGTTCAAGGTCGAAAAGGTCTGCAGGGACACCTTGAGGCGTCGGGATTCACCTCAGCATCTGAAGGGGATGACTTGGAGAGATGCAAAAACAGCCCAAGGATTTTAGAATAGAATGTTCTTGAATGTTCATCAGCCTAACAGTGTCCCAATCCCAGATTCTTGTGTGTCAGCGAATACAATTGAGAGCGCCTTTTGTCTATGTCAAACAAATTCTTGTTAGGGCCCCTGAGAACGCTAGCTCACGGACAACGACTGATGATGACGGCTGTTTAGCCACTGGGACGCTTGATTTAAGGATCCAAACCATCAAGATCTCTCAACTCCGTTAGCTGAGAGCTTCGAAGATCCCCAGGCTCCACCCAAGAGAAGCTTCCACAAACCATCCCGCCCATCGCTCCATCCGCTCCACGCTCCACTTTTTGGATCTTTTTGGGCCGCGGTTCACTTGTTGTAAGGGCTCCTGGAAGCGCGCCTTCCGAAGCGGCACACGCCAGAGCTGGTCCCCGGCATCCAAAATGAAGATCACATCCTGCTGCACGTCATAGCCCACAACCTTGACGTGTGGTGGCGGGACCAGATCCGGATCTAAGACTATCTAAGGATTCTAAGCGCCATGGAGAGGGAATGTTTGTGAAAGAACCCCTTAACATCAAGCTCACGTGCATGAAAGTGAGCCTGCCTTTCATATCCTTTCATGGCGGTGCCATTCAATAGTCCTTTTGTACTTACCCAGACTCGTCAGACTCATCTCTTCCACTGACATGCACAGTCTCCTGCTCCGAGCAGCAGAGACGCTGAAGGAATCCGAAAAACCGTCAATCGTCAAAGGCGCATGGCAAATCACGTCCTGCGCTGCCGGTTCGTCAAGTCTCTCACCAGACACAGCACCTGAAGGTTCCTCAAGAGGTCGTGTGACACCTAGCGATGGAACAAAAAAAGTGAAGGAACTACGGTCGTTTTAAGTCAAATGCAAAATAATAGTTGAAATAGCTTCTTGTTACTAGAAGCAAGATTGCCCCTAGTAGCAATGCCAGGAGCCCCTAGTAGCGTCCTTGCTCCTAGTAGTAAGGCCAGAAGCCCCCAATAGCCTGTTGTTACTAAATGGTCTTAGCAAACATTGCCACTCGCTCCCCAACACATATCGTGTGCCCACACAAACGCACCATTGTGCACAGCCAAGGATCGTATTTGGAGGCCTTGTAGCGCTCAGGCCCATCGCCGCTCGCACGCAGCCGATACACTGTGCAGGTGTTCCCATCCAGCTCGTCGGAGCGCTCCAAGCACGCTTCGTCGTCGTCTGGACCAGGGGGCCCCGCGGGCTCGTCGTCATCGCCGAAGTCGTTTTGGCCCCGAAATGTGATGAGGGCGAAGTCATGCAGGAAGTAGAGGTCCTGCGTCTCCATGAATGGATGCTGAGTTTGTAAATGGAGCTAATGGAAGAAAAATCTCCATTCATTGGAACCCATGAACCGGATCCGGATCTATGAGACAAACATCTGGCCCCTTGACCAGCTTGACCCAGGGCAAAGCTTCCATCACTACACTCCTTGAAATACTCATGGAAGTGGAAAAGCAGCCATTTGTCGAGAAACATGGTCATCCAAGTGGCTATTTTCCACGCGCATGATTATTTTAAAACAGCATCAGCTAGGAGTGGACCTACAGTACCTCCCCTCTACTAACCTCCAAGTGGGGAACCAATATATATATATATATATATCAACACCTGGGCCTACCTGGCTTGAGGAAGCCTACCTTGGCCCCTTTTCAAGACCCGATCGAGGTGTGTGTGTGTGTGTTGGGATTCGATGATACGATCATGAGGAGCTTTCCTACGTCCCAAATCCCGAGAACTCCCAGGTCTGCTGCATCAAGTCCCCGATTGTCATGCTCATAGCCAGCATTGTACCATATTGTGTCAACCAATCTCATTGTTTTGACATGTCTTGACTATTGTTGAGACATCGTTGCCGAGAGCCATGGAAGCTCTGTGGCATGGAGCAAAACCCAATGCCTCAGTGGCTCACCCCAACAGTTCATATGCATTGCCAATGGAGCATGCTCGCTGAGTTGGGGACATGCACTTCTGATCCACATAAAACAAAGAAATGTATATCTGTTGATCCCGTTGGGTCTGGCACACACGAACTGGAGATCAGCACAACAGCGATGAAGAAATTTCAGACATGTCAATCTTCATCGGATGATCAAGTCGCGGAGCAAAACCAGTACCCCATGTCGTTCAGGCCAAAACGGCTTGCATGGTAAGTAGATGCTCATCCCAATAAGACTGGTTTATATACATAAATATTAAAAAAAAAACATATACACAGGATGTTTCAAACATGTCTATCTTCACTATAACAAATGCCCTTGGCTCCTCCGTGTGAGGATCCACTTGGCACCAGACACTCGCGTCCTACGCTGCGCTTGGTCTCCGATGCGGGCAATGAAAGACCGCGCGTCGGACGCGCCTCGTGTCATTGGGGATATGCTCGTCGAGCCCCTCAGAACACCTTATATTACTGGATTGAGAATAGACAGCAGAAGTTACCTCAAGTATGGATGCTCTGGGGTGTGTGCCATCTACTCTGAAACCACTGTATAGTTGGGGCGTCAATGGGTCCCTGGACGCTCCCTGTGGAGTTGAGGCGTCCACCCTCTGGGACCGACTGACCTACGGGACCGACCTGGTCGGTCGCAGGTCGTTTGGAGCCAATGCGAAGCAGGTCGTTTGGTGTCCTCTTTTCTCTTTTCTCCTTTCTTCCTTCGCATGGCTGAAGCATTTCACTTGGCCCAACACCCAATTCACTGTAAGTCTAAGTCTGTCATCACCTTGGAATCCTCACCAGTCACCGAACATACAGTTTGCTTGGCAATCCGCCCGCCCCCACGTCATGGGGAAGCCCTTCAAAGTCCCAGGGTGGCAAGGGCACCTGGCGCGCTCTGCCCATGACACCAGCGCAAGCGAAACATGAAAACTCAGGTGCTTTTATTCATCTCTTCCCACCTCCTTTGTGCACATGTGATCTTTCTTAGCTTCTATGCTTGTCGAACGAAGGGTGATGAGGGTGGGTAACATGTCTACGGTCATGGTTTTCTAGCGTCGATGTGAAGGTCTGAAATGTGAGTCTAACCTGCAATGAAGAGATGAAAACGCTTGCTGTTAGGATTGGTCTCGATCGTCTTCCAAAACATCCGTTCTGCCCGTTCTTCTATGGAAAGGGATCTGCAGAACATGCCGAGACAAATCGCCACAGCCTCACTTCGCTGCAGGGTGTCAGCCGAGACGGTGAACATCTGCCTGGGCTGAAGTTTGACGGCGGCCATGAAGCCTGTGCCGATGCCGCGGTGAGTAAGTATGGTTTCCAAGGCAATGGCGACAGTGGCTGGTGTTCAGTTTCATCCTCCAAATAAGTGTGCAAGGCTGCTTACTCTTTACGCATGTACATTGATATATACTTTTGGAATATGTCTGTGTTTTCAAGGACAAGCAAGCATGCTCGCGCCAGCTGATGTCAAGCTTCTCCTTCCAGGCATCAAAGAAGTAAAGCCGCGAACCCTTGGCATTGACGCCCACGTAGCCGCCAAGCCCATTGTGGGACTCGATCCTCTCCTTTGGTGACAACCCTCCACAAGCCACAGTGGGGTTGATGTGGTTGGGGGTTGGGGACTGCGGTAGAAAATACGTGAAAACAACTGGACTGATCGAATCATTGCAATGCTCTCCTGGATTGCTGGCTTGCTCACAATGACACTCAGGTTCTGCCAAGCTTCCAGATCAGCCCATCTGGACAAAGACAGCACTCCCTTTTCCATGTCCTGAGCATTGACAGGTAGCAAGGAGGGGGCCATGTCTCAGAACACCTCCCGAAGGTCCCGAAGGCCATGGAACGTGAGCAACCAACTCCAAACTTGCCTGCGAAATCAGACATGTCTGATATGGACATGGATTTATACTTTTGTGGGTTGGCATTGGAATGCACCAACCGAAACGCCGCAGTTGTAACTCCTCATGATGTCCTTTCAATGAATGGATGTCCAGGAGTTTCATGCAATGCAGTGATCGTCAAACAAGTCCATCCTCTCCGAGCGCTCTTTGAGGATCGATGCACCGTCCGGTGGTATGTCCTCTCTTTTGGAAATCCACACAAGTTGGTCTGGGAGAAGTCGGGTCATAGGCCCATAGGCAATGTCTCATTCTCGACTTAGGCCCTTAGGTTGTTGGGCAACCCATGACAAAACCTCCTTGATGATGAAGTGAAGCATGAAACAAACCAGCCGCACCGCAACACTGCTGGCCAGGAGTCGAGGACACCCTGCAGGATGACGCCCGTCTTGTCGGAGTCTTTGTGGCCACCTCCCCACAACACGGATAGGTCCAAGAATAGATATATAGATTCCGGAGAATGGATTGAAGCCTGAAGCACCTTTCAACCTCCAACAAAAGTGTGTCATCTTGAATCTCAGCGTTCACAAGCAGGAGGGTTCAGGTTCATATCTCATTTCACCCATTCCCTTTCACCGCAAATTCCAGCCGTCATCTGCACATCGTTTGGCCAGCAGGTAGACCATCTCTTGGACAAACAACATCTGCTGGATCCGAAGTTGGCCTCCCGTGGAGGCAAGGTTTTGGACGCCTCGGGCTGTTTCTCGCACCCCAAGACCTGTCTTTGAACAATCCCCGATGGAATTCCACTGGAGAATGACAGGCCCTGAGGCAACAATAAATGGGGTTTTTGTAGTGAAATCTTCTTTGGGGCAGTCATTTTGTAGTAGTTTGACTTTTGGGGCAGCCCAGAAATGTTGGTCAGCCAAGCCATTTTGTATGTAATGTTGTGTTTGATTGATGGCAAAAAATGACATGGCCGTTGGCCAATGCATTCTGTAGTAGTCTTGGTCTTCCAGATTGGTGGCTTTCACACAGACAACCAGTCATCTTGTAGTAGTAGCTTGCAGTATGTTTGGATGTAATCGGGTCTGTTGACAGATTGATGTAGTGAGATGCAATCACTTAGAAAATTCCCTAATGCCCCTGGGGGAATCTTTTGGGGAAGCAGTTTTGACGTAGCCGAAAAGCGGTAAAACAGTGCGAGATAGACTTTGGCCCAGTCATTTTCTAGCGGGACCCGAGGTTTGCGCATACTTGGCCACTCACAGTTTGCACTGCATTTTGTAGCAAAAAATCGCACCTCGCTGGAAATGTGCACCCTCTTCATTTTCTAGACCTGAAACTGGAGTCTCCTCATTTTCTAAACCCCAAACCTCAGTCCCTACTACAAAATGCATTGTCCAACGTCACCCAGCAAATTCACTCGGGGATGTAGTTGTTCTCTCCCAAGAGATGAAGCTAAAGACCATTGCCAGGTCCTGGGCCGGGAAAAACCGAGAGAGACCCGGGTCGTCCAAACCTTAGGACCTTCGTGCGGCCAAACCCAACACCCCCGCACCTTCAAAGGCCGCACAAAGCTCGGTGGCCTCGCTCTGCCGCCAGAGCACTCCTCAGTCGATCAAATGGTCGCCAGACCACTCCATCTTAAAGTTCAAGATCCACAAAACTACACATTCAGAGCACTTTTCCAAGGAGTCATTGAAATGGAGAGGCTGGAAATACTGCATTTACATTGGTTTTGTTGATTGTTTCTTCTCCCCAGTGGCTCTGCGTGTTCAGCATACGATTTCTTCGTGTACACTACTTTTTGCAGATAAAATGTTATATATATATATATATGTGTGTGTGTGTTTTGTATACGTGCGTTTTGTGTGCGTTTGCTCTGTGATGACGCCGGTGGTTGAATGATGTTTGGTGGGATGCCGTGTGCACATACACGATCGATGATGATATCTCAAGCAGAGGCACATTCGAAGATGATTCCACATGCGCAAAGGGCGTCGCAAGATAGGGGGGTTGGGCAAGGGGTTAATGACGCTTGGTTGGGCGTGCTTCGATCGAAGATGATGCCACCTGCACATAGAGCGGCGCAAGATCGGGGGCGGTGGGGTCGGGTTGGGACAAAATATACAAGTGTCCGGGAAGGGCAGGGAGAAAGCATGAGAAAGCAACTTGTAAACACAAAACCAACTGTTCTCGAACAGACCAAAAATGCAGATAAAGTAATCAAGTCATTTGGGGTCGTGGAACTTCTTTCCAACCTGACGCTCCATGGGCAAAGCAGAACTCTTGGAAGCACTACTCCTGCAACCACGGCAAGGGAATTTGAGCGAGGCACGTGCGCCGTGGACTTTTGAATCGTTTGAAAGTGCACATGGGCAAAATAGATGCCTGTTGGAGCCTGGCAAAGCAGTTTCTTCCAAGCAATTGGGCATGGCGTTGAGAGACAGGCCGAAAGGACCTGCTCGCAAGGACAGGCCAACGTCTGTTGAGGATGTATGTGACCGACGCAGTCCAAGAAAAAGGTCACGATCGATTTGCACGCAGCTCAAAAAGCCTTCACCACTAAAACCAATTCCATTGCCGTCTTCCAGCGTGTGCAAGCGGCATCCTAGTAGCAAATCCAAGCGAACATCATTGACCCCCCCTTAACCCTATGGCCCTATGTCTTTGGTCTTCGTGCAATGCTTTTCACTTAGCACGCCATAACATTTGCCTCAAGGTCACGCGCGCACAAACAGCGGAGCTCACTTCGTTCACACTGCGTTCGCTCTTGTGGACTTGCCGTCCTGTAAGCCTAGATTCGGAGGACTCAACCCGAAGCACTGTGTGTGACGCAGCAGCATGTATCGGATGAGGACCCCAAAAAATCAAACAACAGAGAAATGCGCCAATGCCCCACCAGCAGGTACAGGGGGTGCTTTGGGAGAGTCCGTACTTTTCGGAAAAGGTAGTTTGAAGGGAAATGCGCTGGAAAAGCGACAGAAGAGCCATCGGGAAAAATGTTTACAGTATGTGTCCCGCGTTCCTTCCACACTGTTCTACTGAGATTTTGAGGATGGAGCAGTTAGGTCGGTTGCTTCAAGCGGCTGTAGCTTTCCATGATCTATTCGGCCAGCCCCCAGTTGAAGAGTATTGGATGTGGACCTACACAACATCCAAGAGCTACATCGCTGAGTTGCTTCGATGATTTCCACCGTCGGTGAGGTGTACAATCTCCACCTTGGGGGTTCAGGTATGGGTCACAAACAGGAAAAGCTGCCACCCGCCTGTTGATGCAATGAATCCAAGCCCTGATAACCCGAAAAAAAATGACATGCAGGATGGATATCACAGTTTGCTTATACGCACATGTAGGAGGATCCATGAAACAAATTCTTCAAAAGTGTGTTCGATCTGTGCGCCACAATGTCTGCAAACCTATTGCTGCTACAAATGGAGGACGACAAGGGACGGAGACATGACCTACCCATTCAAACATGACTGGCAAGTGAATACACCTAGTTACACTCCCTGAAATCATGGATGTGAATGGCATGGCCCCTTGGATGGTCATTTCTCCTCTACAAAGAGATTCCCTTGTTACTAGTAGCTACTTGCTCCTATATAGTAATACGGCCAGGAGCCCCTAGTAGCGTTCTTGCTCCTAGTAGCGATGCCCTTTGCTCCTAGTAGCTTCTTGCTACTAGATGCTACTAGTAGGTGGTGAACTCCGCTTCCATGATTTGTTCGTTCCGGAGTGCGTTCGATGAGTTCGGCTCTTGCTCTGCCAGGTCACCGTCGGGCCATTCCTCGCCGAGACGACCTTGGCGGGTCGACCCGCTGGCTCGATGCCTGGGACGAAATATCAGCAAAGCAAATTGAGAAAGGTCTGGGTGTTCCTTGAAACCAGCAAGAATGGATTCTGTCAAGATGGGGAGATGATGAGAGAGATCTTCCTGAGATCGATGAAGAAACAGAAAACATAAGAATATAAACATATCCTACTAGGTTGGAGGCCATCGCTAGCAGGTTCCATCGCTATAGAAAAATTCTCTGATTCATCCAGCTGACATTCACGATCGCTTCGCCCTTGACCAGCGCCAGCACCGTGGGCCCCCGACCGGCCTGGAGACCATCGACAACGAGACCAGGATCGACCGTCCCAGACTGGAACTTTGGGGATGTGTTTCCTTCTTTGTTCGATCAGTCTGCGAGAGTCTTGTGCTGATGTTGCCTTTGAAAGCCTGGTTCTAAACACTCTCCTGTCTTGCGCACCAAGGCACATCCTCTATGATCCCAACGGGAGGGCATGTTTGATAGCGAAACATGGTGCCCCTTTACTTTCCAAGAAGTGCCAAGCAACGCCCTCTAATAGCAAAAAACTTTGCTTGCTGCACCTCAAGAAATGTATTCTTTGTGTGTTTCAGACATAGAACTCCCGGCGGGGCCTACCCTATCCATCGGCCTATCCTGGGGCCTAGGCTACCCTATCCAGCCACCTATGGCTAGGCTAGGCACAGGCCTTTAGGCCTATCCTATTGGGGAAGCATAGTCATAGGCCTATTCTATATATATATATAGTTATAGCATTTCTTCATTCATGATTCATAGTTTATTGAGGTTTGGCATCTAAATGTAGGCCTGGGATAGGCCTTGGGTGGGCTAGGGGTAGGCCTAGGGTAGGCCTAGGATAGGCCTATGGGTCGGGGTAGGCCTAGGAGAGGCCTAAGGGGTGGCCAAGGGCCTAGGATAGGCCTATGGGTAGCTAGGATAGGTCTACCGGTAGGCTAGGGGTAGGCCTAGCATAGGCCTATGGGTGGGCTAGGGGTAGGCCTTTCCACGAAAGCGCAATTTGGTGGGGTTGCATATGAGAGAGCACATCCAGCTTGCCACAAAAAAGCCGAAGAATATCACATCTATTCTAAGATCTCCTTGCAATCCGAAAGCTCTCTGAGAGGAGTCCTCGAGCTTTGCGCTTTTTGCACCTCAGAAACCCTCAATCTGCTCAAAAACGCCCGGAGCGGTCTTTGAACATTTTTTGAGAGCGAAACCCCACTGAATCTCATTCATGTAAGTGGTTGGTGGTTGGCATCAGCTGCTTCTTGCATTTCCCAGACTGGATTTCGCTTCCCTGCAATTGGTAGTCTCATTACACCATTAACTACTGATTTAGGCTCATTAGGTTGTACCACACTTTCATGCGTCGCAAGTTGACCGGACCAGACCCGGCCTCCCTCCCGAAAACCCGACCTCTTCAGGCCGGCGGACCAAGGTCAGTTTACCATCCTGGGAAGCGAAGCAAGCGAAGCCAAAACCATCCTGTCTGAAGCTGCATTTTCCTCTCCCCCGCGTGCGTTGTCAAGCAACACTTGGAAATGCGTGAACGCCTGCCGCACGCACGCAACCTGCCCATTGAAACGACCACCGGAAAACTCACTTGAGTAAAGCCGCTGTGGCATCCATGATGGCATCTTCGTACACGCTGCGGCCAGTTCGAAACTCCTTCGACCCAATGCTTTTCAGGTGAGCCCTGTAGCTACCTCAGAATTTGCGCGTGAAAAACTTCCACAAAGGCAAGCAGCCCCCCTAGATCTATGCATCATCGATCCATAAACTGGCACATGTTGGGTGGTTGCCTTTGCTGAGGCAGAAACAAGGGCAAATGATGGCAAATGCAACCAAAAACGGGGGACGGTGAAGGTTTCGCTGCAAACAAACCACTTGGGTCAAATCACGTCTCTTCAAACGCAACAAGTTCAATGATGCGAGATCTAGAGATTTGTTCCTGCAGTAGTTGTTTTCTTTCACGTGATGTTGAAGAATTTCACCTCTGTACACCTGCGTGATCCTGTGTGTCTGTGTGTATGGTTGCGTGCCCCAAATGCAATCACTGCCCTTGCGCCACAAACCTCTCCAAACTCTGTTCAACGATTCAAGGTAACGTTCACACCCTTAAAGAGAGTGAATCTAATCAGTCAACATGAAGGTAATGCAACACGGGCCGTATCCAGTGCGGTCGCTCCCATCAAGGTTGTTGCGCTGTTGTGCGAGGGTGCATTGATTGCCACCCGCCAAAAAACATATCAAAGCATGCACAATCACTATCACTCTGGTTTGGTTGCAACGACTGACAAAATTGACAAAGCTCCACCGGAGAAGCAACTCATTTCAACCCACCAGCGCACTACAGTCAACCACAAACGGTCGTGAACCCACAGCCTCCATGGCCTGGTAGGTCGACCCCGGTCCTGCAGCGGAGCTTCGAAAGGCACTCCTTTGCCGAGGCGCCAGCGGCTTCCGACCATGATCTCCTCCAAACCAGATAGAATGCCCCAAGATCTGGCGAAGGCACCTGGGGTGCCGGTCCCTCTTCGATGTGCCCCTCTTCGTCGTTACAGGACGACGGGTTGTCAGCTTCCGAAGGTTGACTGTTGCCCTGTCCGGATGAAGGAAGAGAAGTGGTGCAAATAACTCGAAGTGTTTGGCTTTGGACTCGATGCGAGCCATGTTGTGTCTTTGAGGCTGAGAAGTTGTCTTTTGGTCGAAGAAGTTGGTCTCGGGCTGTGTTTGGGCGAAGTGGTTGTCGGCTGGGTTTCTGCAAACTACAAGTCTGGGTGGGGTAATGGTTGAACGGCGCACATCTAGCACGCACTGTACAGCTTCTGAGAGCTCCGGGCTGTGCTGGCCGTTTTGTAGCGCCGTTCTTCGTGCGTGGGTTTGTCTTTAGGCATGTGTATGTGTGTGTGTGGGCTGAAAATTGGGTTCAGAACTGGCAGATTTGCAAATAGGACAAATGTGTGGGCGTAGCTGGTGAAGGGGACGACTGGCGGTGTAACGAGGATTGCTATCGCTTGGTTGCATGGCGTATGTTGCACGCGGCGCGGGAAACATGCTTCGGTAAAGGAGGCATCTTGCTGGTGAGGGGAATGACTGGTGGTGTCTTTGAGGCTTGTCGTCGCTTAGTTATGTGGCAGTATAGTGTGGCGAAGACTTTTGCAATGTCGCACTGCTATGCTGCTATGTGCCTTTGTGAGGGGTGGGTGGAAAGCGCGCTTGTGTGGCTTTGTGCCAGTGGGAAAGCAAAACATGCTTGCAGCGTGCTGCTGGTGAATGGGAGGAGTGGCGTGAAGGAGGCTTGCTGTCGCTTAGATTTATCGCGTATGTGGACGTGGTGAAATTGCGCCTGTCGCGGTGAGCCGTGCGGTTTGGCGAGGCATCTGCTGCCGGATCAACGCGCGTGGTGTAAGTGATCGAGGATAGGTTGCTGTAGGGTTTCCATTGCATGTGTCTTCTTCACAAACAAACAAACAAACAAGCAAACAAACAAACAAACAAACAAACAAAAAGAAACGTTCACCTTCACAAACAAAGGGGGTGTGTGAAGTCTTTTGCCATGTTTTCGTACATCCCTCTGGCCGTGACATTGCTCACGTTCACGGTGTTTTAAAGCAAGCACTACCCCAAAAAGGCCACCGTTGACGTGGTTCGGAGGAGGAACCTGCCAAGGCTTTGATTAGCAAGGTGTCCCTCCGAAACGAACCTTGTCTCAAGCCTGGGCACGGGGTACAGAAAGGTGTCGTGGCAATGGTAGCCCTCATGCGAGACACTGGTCCAACGGTGCTGTTCACAGACGGCTGGTTCCCGATCCCGCACCATCAGGAGGGTTGCATGTGGAGGCAGAATTCCTGAAACTTTCCTCAGCTGGAGAAATCACTTGAGATATGCTCAGGCAAAGCAATCGGGTCATTTGTTTCGCAAACATTGCACCAAATGATTTCCACAGTGTGATTCAATAAAGTAGAAAAACTAGATGCGCTACCAACCTCCAACTAAAGCTAAACCACCTCCAACTCCAAACATGTCTTCCCAGCGTCAGTGACCTGTTGGTCTCCCTGAGCGGCGATCCATCCAGCAAGAGTCTTATGGTGCCCAACTCCAAGTCTTCCACCCGCTGCCGCAGCGTTGCAACCGTCTCCGAGGATAGCCTGAGAAGAACACGCCGATGGCAGGTCGAGCAACTAGAACAATTCTGGGAACTACAAAACCGAAGCAGACCCAGACCATTTCTCTTGCAAAGCAGAGGCTGCCATGTAGCTGAATGGGAAAAATAATCGTGGTACAATACAGTACATGACCTGCCCAAAAAGAAATTGGATGCCTCTGAACTTCATTCGTTGGAGGCTTCCTCTTACGAATGGTTCTCAGGCTCAGAACACTCTGCCCCGTACAAATCACCAGGCCCGAGCCAAGCTGAGGCCACATATGCAGCATGAGTTCGCTTCGCGCGATTCCATGCAAACATCACCACCATGCCCAACAAAAGTCCCACAGCACTTGCCACCGGGAGCGACCAAAGAGGAACCGGCCCTTCAGCAACACCTGTCTGTGGCAAAGGTCTGGGAGGTTGAGGTACCTGTGAAGGACCTTCTCCTGGAATCTCATCAGGTTCCGTGAAGCCTGAAATCGAGCTGCGCTCCAGGAGGTTCAACGGGCTCGACAAGTTCAGTTGACCATGGTGGCCATGAGCCATCTGGTAGAAGAGATTTCCTATCAGAATCTTGTCTCTCACATTCACTTCATGCCGATTCCCTTCTGTCACAACCGTCTGGAAGAGCCCTTGAGATGAGGCGCGCACAAAACGACCATACTCCTCAATCCGGTTGTGACGGCCACAGCCGTGGAAGCAACAAGGATCTGCTTCATGAAGCACCTGCAGGCTGCTTCGATGCTTTTCAAGCGAAGCCAGCACATACAAAGCAGTATAGTTCCCAATCCGAGCCCATTGGCTGTCGCAAAACTGCTCGAAGTCAAACGACTTCTTCCGGAAGTCGCATGGCAAACTGCCCGCGATGGGCACTGAGAGCTCAATCCGCGGATCCACGGCTGCAGCCAAAGTGGTGGTCCAACCACCCCCACTGAGACCAGCCATGAGAATACGCTCATAGCCAAGCGTGTTCATGGCGTAGTTGATGGTCTTAATCACCGGCTCTAGGAAGAAACGGAGCCATGGCACTTGTTGCTTCTCAAAGTGTTCGAACCATGCATGGCCACTGAAGGGTTGCTCCTGCTGGGTGTTGCAATCTCGGAAGGGCATCATCATCGTGACGACATCCAAGCCCAACTGGTTGAGCCAATCGGTGGTCCCATCGTTATCTCCAAAGGTGGGACAGTCATCGCCACGGCCATGTCCCCGATGGAAGATCACCAGGGTCTTCCCCGGTCGGGGCGGCTCAGGGTGTGCGGGCTGCTGCGCTCCCCAAATGAACCCGTGGGGCGCCCATCCAGAGCTGTTGAAGCTCAAAAAGGCTTTCCTGGCCCGAAAAACACCATCCCGAAAACACGTGTCTTTTTTCAAGTCGGAGTAGCCTTTCCCAAGAGGGATGGAAACATCTACAAAACTTACTTGACAACCACCCAGGTTCGAAGTAATGTTCATGGCATAGCTCGCATTGAGTCTTGCAGTCGTCTGCCACACGATCTCTGTGATGGGCACGGTCTTCTCACAGTCGCTGCTTGGAGCTGAACCCCAAATGGACGACATGCAGCTGGGAAAGCGATAATTCACCATGTGGGTGACCGGCGGCACCGACGGCTTGTCGTCGCTGGGCAAGCGATCTTCGCCGAACATCTCCTATCTTGAAATCATCTCAGAATTTGACTGGAAGAAAAAGATGCATTCTGTCGCTTGCTTTACTGCAAAAACCACAAGAAAAGAAAAACTCTAGCGACTCTAGCTGGTCTCCTTGACGAGCTGTCGCCGCACCTCCAACCAATTGGGACTTTCTGGCAGGAGCGTGTATCTCTTGCAGCCATCCTTTGAGGAGCTATTGGCAGGGCAGAAGTCATCAGGCCAGCCGGAGCGGCAATCAACCATGGGGGCAGGCGTCAAGTTCAGTGATTCTTGAATGGCCTCCCCTTCATGGAAACAATTTCATGTTATAAAGCCCAATATCAATATCCTTGGAGTCACTAGAACCATTTCAAGTGCAAGCATACCATCAAATTTCTGAGGAGCCCACAGATGTCGCAAGACACAAACCAAGGTGCCACAAAATGCCACAGGCCACAAGGTCTTAATTGTCTGGGAAAGGTCATTTGAGAACATCCGTGGCAGGTTGGGTTCGCGAGGGGTGATGGAATCAAGCAAAACTCCAGAGAAACAGGCATGCATGGTGTCCACTTTACAAAGAAAATGAACAGGACTCATGTCCTCCAAACGCAAACCATGCAAACCATGCAAACTCGGCAACGCATGGAAGAACCACTGTCACAATGTTGACCCATGTCGGTTGAGTCGCGGCTTCCTCTCGCACCAACAAGGGCCACGCTTGAAACCAAGATCAGCTCAGGAGCATGGAGAAGGAGTGCAGCAGCTCGCCAGTCACAGCGCTGTTGATCTCGATTCGAATTTCTTCTTCCGCCATGGCTTCTATCTTGAAAGCACCAGAGGCCACGAAAGATGTGGACCTTTTTCGTGAAGGGGTCTGCTGCTGACACATTCATTGACTCTCAGAATGGTAGACCTTGACTGAATTCCAAGAATTCACTTGTCAAGTGCCGGTCCATCCATGGACAGATCCTTCCTAGAAATGTGGGACAGGAAAGTCTAGATGATGGCAGTTTTCTTGGAGACACTGAAATCTTTCTCGGAGCCAACAGTTTTGCATAACCCTTAAGACAAACAATCACCCAAGAAGCTACTAGTAGCTAGAACCCCCTACTCTTCTACACCTTCGACCACCCCCAGTACTCAGCAGTTGACTTTCCTTCCGAACTCAGCAGTTGACTTGGTCGTTTTTCCTTCCGCTCCTCCGGCTCCTCCTCTCCAGCAGTTGACCACCCGTCGGACGCACCGGATAAGACGTAGCGTGACGCTGAGCCGTCGGACGGGCCGCTTCAGTGGCCGCCTAAAGACGCAGGGTGTTTGGTGGAACGGGCGGAACGAGGAGGAACGAGGAGGAACGAGGAGGAACAAGGAACGCGGAACGGTTCACAGCGTTTTTGGGGGACGTGAACTGGGGTGAACTGGGGTGAACGCAACCATTCGAAAGCCCCAATTTCTCTCAAATCCTGTGGCCTTTTTAGGGTTCCAAAAATGGCCATCCCGAAAATGTGGGGCTTTCGAATCGGACCGGCGTGAACAGGATCTGGACTGGGACTTCGACAGAAGACGGGACCTGTGGCTCAAAAAGAATTGAAGAGATCCACTACTAGACCGACCTCAACCGCCCCCCTTCTGGTGGAAAGACCACGAGGTGTCTCTGACCCAAACCTGTGAGGCCAGTATACCGTCTACATCGAAGAATGACCATCCTGCGAATGATGTAAACACGAAACCACAGGAAGAATGAACATCTCATCAAAAAAGAAGCTCATAAATGTCGCTGTCGCTCCCAGCTGGGCATGTGGATGTTCGTCTCAAGAACAGGGCTGGCTCTTACTTTCTCAGGGTCAATTTGGGAGGTGCTCGAGCTGAAGGGACTTCTTGGCACGTCAGCTTCAAGACAGGTGCCCCACCATGACGCCCATGCCCAATGGTGTGGCACGAGAAGACGTCTATGCCCCAAAGACCTCACAAAGCAAGAAAACGATGTCCGTTGTCCATGTCTCCCCAGCCCCCCCCGTCACGCCCCACGCCCGGCCCTCCGCCTCACTACATTTGGCACGTTGTCGATAGCTCCCGTCACCTGAGAGAACCGTTGAGCTGGTTAAAAGCACTACTGAAGCACACCCCTTCAAAGGTGTCCTGAGTAAAAATGACGGTCGACTACACTTCCACAAGATAGGCACAGAGAGATGATTCTTGAACCCAGCTGCCAACTGGCCAAGTTTGCCAGCCATCTTGTCTAGTCATTTTGTGCCGATTTGCTTTAATGTGATAATTACGGCTCCAATTATATAGATCTTACCAAAAGAGCTCCCCAAATGACGCGCAATCCACAGTATCCGGCTTGCTCACTGTCACTCGGGGTCGCCCTATCCTGAAGCACTTACTAGCCCAGTACCATCAATACTGACGGATTCATCGACTCGAGGCCTGGATAGGCCCTAGGCCGAAACGTGAAACACCCTTCCTTCCAGTGAAGCTATAGGCTCTTTTAGATGTTTTTAGTACACTGCTCAGGCTTTGTAGATCAGCACGAACGCCGGTTCCAAGGCCGCCAACTCATAAACACCGACATGGCCACTGCCGGAAAGGAAGGTGCTGGAGCTCAGCGGGACTAAAAAGAAATTCCTGTCTTTTTTGCCCACTCGCTCACTAGCTGATCTTTTGTGCCAGGAGGCGACAAACCCTGATTTTATTCCATCGCGTTCTTGAATTTGTTTGCAAATAGTTGGCAAAAGTGCACTTTTGTGCGGTCTGTGGCTGGGTGCAGCTGTAGCCTGGGAAGACCCATCGCTTGCTTGACGTCAGTTCTGCCTCTGGACCCAGAGCCAAGCAGCTCGACCGGTCGCAGAGAATCGAAGAGATTCACTATTTGGGAATAGGGAGACCTCCTGGCCCTGGATGGGTAGACCAGTCTATGTTCCATCTTCCAGGGAGTCGATCTGGGAGACCTCCCTATTTTAAAGACACATTCAGTTCTATCTGTGTGGTAATTCATTGCCTGAAGATCAAAGTTGGGGTTCAAAGTGTTGCTTCTGCCAAGAGTAAGCTCCGCTCAGCGACACACCCAAGTACTGGGTATATATAAGGGCAGAATACCTCAAATGAACTCAAACATAATGTTCCGGCAACACCAAACGATTGCCAAAAACTAAAGTGCCCCTTCACCTGAGGAGTCGCTTGTCTTGCTGCTTCTTCTAAACAAAGCCTGCTTCTACAGGCCTTGCCTACAACATCAGCTCCTCTCTCCAACTACGTGTATATATATATATATAACCTCCTCTGGCCTGTCTCTGCGACTTAAAGCCATTCTTTGAGTGTCTACGTGTTTGTCGTTGCTCATTACGAAAGATGTGAAATGCCTCTCTGTCTCTACAGTATCTCTATCTATACCCCTCTTACCACATCCATAGCTTAAAAATGTGTAAAGGTTAAACACTTCCCGCCGTTGAATTCAGCCAGGCCAGGAACCACCGAAACCGCTTTTTTGCGCAAGCTTTCACCAGCCAACCGGCCAAAGAAGTCCGGAGCAAGTTAGCGGCTAGGCCTGCATGGATTCTTGAGCAACACGTTGTTACGGCCCAACAATGGAGTGGTCTGGTCCGCTGGAGAACATGCCCTAGCTTACAATTCATGTCCACCGGACTGTTGGAGGGAGTGCAAGGGCGTGACAAACGAGCATCGAATTGGAAAACGATTCTTGTAGAGACAAATGAGTCTTTGAGCATGCTTTATATATGATATACACGTTCCCTGTGATTTCTCATCCCTCGCATGATCCAAACGATGACCACTGACGGCCACTGCCATCTTGTAGCTTCATGATCAACCTGTTGTGCAATCCCCGGAAAAAAGAACAAAAACTTCAGAAGTCTTGGCTAGTTGCGGCTAGTTCATCCTGTAGCTTGCTTCATTCGTTCGACCAAATCAACCTGAGTTCTACAACATTTCAGGTCGTCCATTAGTAGGTCGTCCTTCGTCCTGCTCGGGGTCCCCTGAATCCCGCCAAACCTTCACGCCTTCCGGCGGCTCTTTCGCAGGGAGAAGCCCTCGGACGCATGTTCCAGGAGGCAGGTCCTTCACCGGATGTTCACCGGAATCCAACAAACACACACACTCTCTCTGATGAATGTGCCTTGAAAGCTCCGGTCGAACTGGTCGAATTTGGGAACTTGGAGCTTAGCTTGGAATTCGACCGGCCCAAATCGTGCGGCGCGTCGGAGCCTCGGTGGGAGGAAACACAGCGATCTCTGGATGTCGGGATTTCTTGGTCTCCTCATCTGCTCGGCAATCGCATGGCAACCTGATGGGAAAGGCGGAGTCGCTCGCCGAAGCCGATTGCGATCAAGCTGCAGTGAACCCTCCCCACACAAAGGGCACAAACGATGATAATGATTGTGATTATATATGATTCATGATTATCAAAGCAATAGCTCTGTGTTCCACTGCTACAGTAGCTGCTGCAGGCTTAAGCCAAGATCATCCAAGATCTAAACTCAGCCTCTTCATCCAAACGATCAGCTTGCTCATCTTGCTTGAGAATGCACTACAAAAACATGTCTCATGCCCTGCATGCGTGTGAACGCCCTGCTCTGGAATCAAAATCCCAGACTCAGAAAAAGAAATGACATGTCTGGAGCAGTACCTGGCGACCTGGTCCTGCAATGCAGCCTGCTGTCACACCACCATCGGAGACCGCCCGAGTGACCGGACGTACTTGCCGCACAACGAAGGGTCCATCCGGTCCCACCGACCTTGAAGTGCCATGTCGTACAACGGGGCAAAGAAGCCCTCGGGGACCTTGGATTCCACCTGGAGTTGAAGCCGAGAGTGCGGTCCCCGAAGCAAACTAAGATGACACTTGGGGGTAAGGTATAAGTAAAACATCGTGTGGCATTTGAGCGGAGTTTTGACCAATGTCAGACGACGAGCACCACCAACGCCAATAGCAAGCACTATATAACAGTCTGCCAGAGAGCAACCCAATGGCAGTGCTCATGTTACAACTACATTCGCTTAGAAGGTGAGAGGAGAGTGGAGATCCCCTTCTATGTTATGGGAAGCCAAGCACAGGGATGTACCTGTGATTGAGACGCCAAAGAACAATGCAAGACAAATCGACAAACCCTCAAAAGGTGTTGGGGAATCTCTATGCAAAGCCCTGCTGCTCCTGTTTTCCATCTGCCTGTCTTGCCGAA